TAGAGTATGTGAGGATCTGTCAAATTGTCTGAAATGTCATATCCCAACTTCCCCCTCTCTTTGTTTACTGGGAAACCTGGACGATGTCCCGATTGCAACATCTTTGGTTCACGTGGTTCTGACTGCCATATGGATCGCTAAGAAAACTATCCTCTTGAATTGGAAAAATAAAGAAACTCTCTGCATTAACCAGTATAGAAATATTTTGTTAGATCATATTGCACTTGATATAGCCTCTGCTTCCACTTCAGATGAATCTCTCTGGGCTCCTTTGATCGGTTCAAATACATTGCGAGGGTGGGGGGCCGTTGATGTTGTCCTGCGGGATGGTGTGGGTGGGGGGGTGTGGGGTCTGAGTTTGGAGTATCCGGATGTTCCCTGGAGGTGGGTTCACTGGGGGTGTCTGGGACTGGGGGGCCGTTGCCCCCCTCTGGAGGTGCTTGGGTTGCCTCGGGGGGTGGACTGCTGGCGGTTGTGAGTGGGGCCCCTTGGGGATCTTGGCGGCGGCCATGGGTCACTGCCTGGCGGCTGCAATGCCCCTGGGCGGGTCTGGGTGGGGGCCTGGGGGCTCGGGGTTTGGGGGTGGCCGGCCCCGTGTGGGGATCTGGGCGGGGCCTTGGGTGTCGGGTCCTGACATGTATGCTGCCGGGAAGAAGGCAGGGACACCCAGCAGTGCCTGGCTCGGGTTCGGGGGCCTCAGGTAGACCTTGGCTCCTCTGCCGTTCCATCACAGGGGAGGGGGAGGTCCAGGAGGGGGAGGACCCAACCTTACCTGGATGTCCCATGTCTTATATATTCTGGAAGTTGTGCAAATGCAGGGGTGGGCATAGATATTCTGCTGGGGTGGGGCTGGGTTGGTGCCCTCGGACTCCGTGAGGCTCTGTAATGCTGCTGCTTTGGGCCCTGGCAGGATGGGCTGGGGTCTCCATGCCCTGGGTGGCAGTTTGACAACAGAGGTGCCTATTGGGGCCAGTAGGGGAGCTGGCTCCCTGGAGGGCTAAGCCCAACCAGCCATTCCTCCCCATCCCCGCATATTTCTCTCCTCCTGCTCCCTCACATCATCACACAAACATACACATAGGACCTTGGGGGGTAGGCAAGTCAGGGAGTGCGGGTATGGACCCCATTTCCGCATTCCTGTGGTAACCTGCCCCCCAATTTTATTTGCACCTTATACACTTCCACTGACGACATTCCACACAAACACACACTTAGGGCCTTGGGAGTGAGCACATTCAACGGCATTTGGCAGGGGGATATTTCAGCCTCCTCCCGAGTGCCGGTGCCCACTTCCAATTTTAAACCGCACTTAGACACTGATGGCTGAGGGTGTAAGTGGGGTGGTGCAGTGGCATCAGCTGGCATATGCTGGATGATGCCCGCACTGCCCACTCACCACAGCCATGGAATACACCTCATGATCACACAACACTATATTGGAGCAGGCGGAGGGAGACTAGGGGTCTTAGCCACCTCTGTTGTTGCTAGGCTTCCTGGGGCTGGAGGCTAGGAGGGAGATCTGGCCGTCTGGTTGGGGTCTGGGGTGGTGGGTTGCTGTGCTCAGCGTTGGGCGGGGGAGCCTGCTCATCAGCACCCCAGCAGAAAGGGTCAAACTCTGGTTACCGGTGATGGTTGTACCCAATGTGCAGCAGTACCGGGACCAGAGTGAATAGGGTGTGTATGGGGAGCATGAGTGGGTGTCCGGCGTGCATTTTTGTAAGTCTTGGGTTGTATGTGCATGTGTGAGAATGAGGGAGGGAGCGTGTGACTGTGTTTGTGTATGACTGTATATGTCAGGTGGGGCCTTTGGGTCCTCCCCTCTCCTGGAACTTCTCTTGATGATATAGATCTCTGTCCCCCCTCCCCCTGCCACACCTGGTGTGGGGGCTTGTGCCTTGGTCTGCCTGAGTGTTCGTGGCAACCGGGTCTGAGGGTTTAAGATTTTGGCATCTGCCTGTTAGATCCCGGTGGCTGCCTGGTGGGGTCTGGGTCCCTGGTCTCTGCTGGGTCCCCGGCGGGGGTGGTCGCCCCTGGGTCCCAGGTCGCTGGGTCCCGGGCTCGGCCGGCTAGGGGGTGGGAGGCTGCGGGCGGGCCTGTGGGCTTGCCGCTGATATCTCCAGGGACTCTGCCGGCTGCTGGTTGTGGCCCCCTGGGGCGATCCTCTGTGCCTCTCGAGGGGGGCGGGGGCCTTCCTGGTTGCAGTCTCCTTGGGGTTCCTGTGTTCTGGGGCAGCGCCTGGATCTCTGGGACTTGGAGCTCCCCCCGTCTCCTGCGCATCTTTGGGGGGCGGATCTGTGGTCCCTCACACTCTCACTGTTGGGCGCTCCTATAGAAAAACCTTAAATAAACAAGCGTGTGTACACACACAGGTGCTCACATGGTGCTCTCAAAAGTATGGGCTTGGGCACGTTAAACACAGGTCTTAAGACTATGGTGGGCACTTAATGCGTTGTGATTTATTATCGTGATTCTTCAGTTAAGCAATATTGATTATATATATATATTTTTTCTTTTCATCAAGTTGACGCAGTGATAGGTAGATCTTGTTGTATTGTTGTTGTGTCCCTTTTTTGTCACGGTTGGAGGTGAGTGAAAACACCTGACCCTCATTCTGTTTGAGTGCAGATGGGCGGAACCGGAGAGCAACGAGCCATCTGCTACTCATCAGCAGACTTCTTAAGGAGCAGGGAGACACACCTCAGCGCTGGATGATTACTCAATCTTGGTAGAGCTACCTGAGTGTCACGAGCCTTTTTAATCTTTGACTATTGTCTCCCGAGCTTCGTTCCGAGTAACCTCACCCTGCTTCTCCCTCTCCTTCAGGTCAATCCTCCACTTTCAGAACCTGCCATAAGACACGGATCCACGCCTGTCTCCCCGCTCCAGCCTCTTCTGACCAGCCAGCTCTCTGCCGCCTCCGCACCCTCCCCCCTCTCAGGACTCCGAGGATTCGCCCTGTCGCGCGCTCCTCCTGCCACTCACCAGCCAACCGGACCCTCCTCTCTCCTCTTCTCTCCTCCCTACCCAGAACGCTGGGCCCCAGGATTTCTGGACTATAAAGAACTGAGCTAAGCTCCAAATCGTCACCTACCTTAACGGTGCTCCTTTAGTTAAGATAATAAATATTTTCTGTTTTTTCAAACCCATCCTCTTGACTCTGAAGTTGATTCTGTATGTCTTGGGTCAGACGGTTAACCCCAAACATGACACTTTTTTGTGTCCCTTTGTTTTCTGTAGGTCTAGAAGCAGACTCTTGTTCATTTTTGTTTATTTTTGTGGACCCCCCCCCCCCCCCTCTCTCTCTCTCTCTCCCCACCTTTTCTTTTCCTTTCTCTTTCACCTCTGTCTCCGTGTCTGGTCGGAATTACAAAGCATTCAACAACAATAACAATAAAGTTTTAAGTATCAGGCGTGACATTAAAAGCAAACGCTTTGATGCTCCACCTGAGAATAAATCTGTAAGGCTTGTCACCAGCATTCAGACATCAATTCTGCTTGCTTCACAGCCAGACAGGACACGTTTAAAAAAAAAAAAAAAAAAGGTGCTTTTCAGTGTTTGGTGTCCTTACGGGTCCTTCTAGCTCAGTTCGTGACAGTCTACTCCTTGTTGTCACCCACAGATACTGAGTTCAAATAAAAAGTCTCATGATAAATGATCCACCCAAGCCCATGGTCAACTGGTCAACTATCTCAGTAAAGATTTGGAGCATATAGTGAATACATGGAAACTTGTTTTTGAACTTGTACTAATGCATGCATGTTTGCTTTAAAACATCTGTTGTAACACTGATGATCCAAGTTTCAATTGAATGCAATTAAATATTCAACTAAACATTCAAAAAGCTTCCTCTACCAAAATGAAGTAAAGTGACAGCAACAAATCCTTTAAATGTTGATTCACAATAAATCCAGAGTAGTTTCAATATAACCTGCCTCCATAGGGACTTTTTCAGTACAAATTCTGGAAAATTACATAAATATTTATGATAATGGACATAAAAGTCACAAACAGGCTCACAATCACTTCCCACTTGTAAAATGGTTTGTGTTGAGGCTCTGTAACATTAACATGAACATTCTAAAGATAGCGGCAAGAAGGTTTAATGGGCAGAACTGGGACAAAGCAACACCATTTTGCTTCAGATGTTATGTAAAAGATTTAGAGAAGCAATGGGATGAAAAGTTTACAGACTTTGTTATATAATGTTATAAAATTGTGTCAGGAAAGAAAGCTTCACAACATCTTTAGTGTATTGGTTCCAACTGAAAAATAAGCAAAAACTTTCTTTCATTGATGGTTGCAGTGCTTATGTTACACTTTTACTCTAAATCCTTTTTCCCTCCTTGTAATTTTGTGTGGTTCTTTTCTTCTTTGCTGTTCATCTAAAATCCCACGTTACTGACTAGAACCTGCCTGTTTGTATGTATTCTTTACCGAAATACCTCTTGAACCACTGGATGTATTTGAATGACATTTTCCAAGAGCAACCATACATCTATGACCGATCAACTTTGGATGTCAACCCAATTCAACATGGCCGGCTTGTGCCGACTGACATGATCAAACAAAAATGGCTATGACTACAATTTGAGGTAGAATCAAGCACTCTGCACATCAACAAATATTAGAGCACTGCTCTACAGCTAACGGACAATCAATATGATGAAAGAGAGAGAGACTGGAGCACTCAGGCCACTGAATATTTATTTGTATGCAAATAGAAACTTCTAACGTTTTAACACTCTGGTGTCTTCATTGGACTCTGATGAAGACACCAGATTGTTGAAAGGTTAGTGTATATATTATGGACCTGAAATGCAGTGGGCCATGTTTACTCACTCAAGCAGTAAAATGTTCAAAGTAAAAGGTTAATTCAGCTAATCGTATCTGAATGCTCATTCATACATTTTCTCAGCTTTTTCCATCCTGTCTCTTACAGACCGAGCCATTATTCAGTTACCAGACTGAAATCTTGCCTCTTTATGTGTTGATTTTCTACCTTCTGTCTGTGTGGCTTCAGGTGAGTGAGAGTCCTGGCTCCAGTCCCCGCCACCAAAGACCTGAACAACCAGGAGCCGCTTCAGAGACACCAGGTCAGAATCTTTGAGTCCAGTTTCAAGCTGGCGAACAATCCTGTGTCCTGCCTGGCTGGTCACTATGGTAACCTTGGAAAGAAATATTCAGATGAACAATTTAAAGACTATTTAGAATAGTTTGAGTTACTTTAATTATGAGGTATTGATGTGGTGTCTTTTTGGCTTTGTTTTATTGACCAAGAAACCTCCTCCACACACACAAATTAAACGCTTGTCCTTTTCAGTTGTGTCATTGTTGAGCCACAACAAAGTTTCCAGCCACAGCTCAGTTTCCTAAAAACCCTTTCTCTTTAGAGTTATTACATCAGAGACCATGAATAATTTGGATCTTTAAAAGAACAAGACACATCAACCACAACAAAGGATTTTTTTGTGCATGACTGTAATGTTTACGTTGTCCCTTAAGTGAAATGAAGCATGGAGTCTATTACCGTAACCAAGCTGAATGCATGATGTCAGACCCAACTCTAGTGTTGCAAGAGCTCCTTTTGGTAGAAACAATCAACATTATCACTGAACAGTGGAAGGATCTTTATATTTGCACTGAATATTTGTCTAAACTCCCCACAAAGGTAATTATAATTAGGGCTGAAACGATTCCTCGAGTACCTCGAATAATTCGAGTACAAAAAATCCTCGAGTCAAATTCTCTGCCTCGAGGATTCGTTTAATTCATATTTAATTAATTCATGGCTTTGCAGTCGCCCGTGGTCATGTTTCACCCGGACTGAAATAAGTGACGCACATGTCCACTGGACTGAATCGCACACGCGAGTAGGGAATGTAACTTAACTTTCTCTTAAGCTATGGCGGACAACGTGGACCGCGGTGGAGTGCGAAAAAGACAGAAAATGTCAAGATGTGGGACCATTTTTCACGTCGTAAGGTGGAAAACGTAGTCCAGTGAAAATACTGTAAAATGGATTTAGCCTACCACAACACCACATCCTCCATGCTGCAGCACCTGTAAATGTCACTTCTGCAAGTGGACTCGGAGCCTCTACAAGATAATGCTTTTTAGCCTGTATTTCTATATATTCTGCGGACACTGTGCGACTTTTTCGTTTGTAGCACTCAAGTTTCAGCTCACACCGTACGTCTGGTAGCAACAAGTCGGACTTAAAATGTGCTAAAAAATAGCATTTTTACACAAAACGTCGGACTTTTACTGTGTTGTTATTGATATTTGTTGTCCCTCGGGATTGCTGCAGGAGGACACGGGTATTTATGAGAGGAAAACGAAAGAAAGTAAATAAATGTTTTGTGATCAGTATAATTTGACAAAACCACGGCAAACATGCTTTCTCGACAATCCTTGTTATTGTGTGAGAAAAAAAGTGTTGAAATTAAAACGGACGTGTGTTAATAGGGAAACAGCCGGCGAGCTGTTTGCGCATGCGCCATGAGCGGTTCTGGTTCTGTTTGGGCCGCAGCCGCCCGCAGCGCTACTTCAACAGTTATCCTCTGGCTTGCAGGCTAGCAGATTCTCGCACGAGGGGAAAATCGGCTCAGGTACTGTACTTATTTTTTGCACAGGCATTTGTTTACTGTGAAGTAAAGTTGAAGTGCTGAAGTTTTGCAAACTAATTTTGAATAAAACTTGAAGAATAACTGGCAACTGCTTGCTCATTTTAAGAGGTCTTTCGTAATTATAACATGCTATTTGATATAATGGTTTACAAACACAAAAGGGTAATTTATTAGAGTACTCGATTAATCGAAAAAATATTCGATAGAGTACTCGATTACAAAAATATTCGATAGCTGCAGCCCTAATTATAATACCTGTATCAACAACTCTGACATGAGTTTTGTTCACAAATTTTCAGAAACCATTTCAAAAGTTCAGAACAACAATTGCAAAAATGATGAACTAGTTTACTTTAAGATATATCTATTCATTCAGAAAACTGGTGTTTATTTCCATTATGTGAATTTTTCATAAGCCGGTACAATGGTGAAGGGGACAACGTTTACAGTGGAAAAGTGTTTTAGCGGGGACAAATTCACTAATAAACACAGCAATGCTGTTTCTCAATGCCCAAAATATGCTAGTGTGTGCTTGGTAAGTACAGCAGGCAGTCCATTTACCAAGCATGGGAGGACGATTAAGGCATTTGGAGCAGTACTGTACTTGGTTATGTCATGGCAACAAGCTTACGCTTTATTCTATAGTTTAAAAAATTACCTGGGGAAAAGAAAGTCTATAACTAAATAACAATGGATAAATTTTTGTATAATATATGGAACCTTTTTTTATTAAAATTGATTAAATACCAGGGGCCTCATTTATCAAGCTTGCTTACGCACAAAACGGGGTCGGAAAACTGCGTAAGCAACTTTCCACGCAAACTTTGGGATTTATGAAAGAAAACTTAGCAGAAAAATGTGCACAACTTTAAGTTGACTAAGGACCTTGCTTACGCACATTTTGGACATGGAGAGAACCTGCAGTGCTGCTGCTGAGAAGGATAAATTTATGAAATCCTGCAGCATTATCACTTGTACTGCTTCATTTTCACACAGAACAAGACCCCCCACACGCACACACATGCACGCATACACACACATGCGTGCACACTCACACAAACGTGCATGTGCGCACACACACTCACACACTCACACACACACACACACACACACACACACACACACACACACACACACACACAGCCTGAAACGCAGAATACAGAATGCAGAATATCAGCAGGGGGACAGATTGAGACAGAATGTCATGCGTCTGTGGCAGTGTGTCCTGTCACTGTGACCTGATTGATCATGCACCCTGGCTACTTGTAAAAGAGAGATTCCTGTTTGGCTGACTGGTTAGCGCACGAGACTGTCACCCGGGAGTCTGGGGATCAAATCCCAAATGTACCATTTTTTTTATATCTGCCACTGATCTCGCTGAAGAATTCACAACATTGACAGCTTCAGCAACGCTGTGCCATTTTGTAGACTTTCTCTTATTTGTTTTGCAAAAGCACTTCCTTTCATTTCTCCACCTCACCCACAAGTACCTCAATTTCTGCTTCTGTGAAATTGCGCTTCCTTGATCTGCCTTGATCTACGGTCGCCATGTCATTGGCAGAGCGCTGCAACAGCCGGCTTATGTATATGCATGAGATCCACAAGGCATTTTGCATTGACTATTTATGGCAGTAAGTGGGCACGGTGAGGGCAGGATGTGACTAAAATGCAGCTGAGAAACATTCTTGTTAGTCTCCAATTCATGAAGCGGAGATTGCGTGCAGCTGTGCGTACTCCACGTTTGATAGATCAAAAACCTACCCAGCTCCTGGTGCAATCTACTGTCATCTCCCGCCTCGATTACTGCAATGCCCTTCTAACTGGTCTTCCAGCATGCACTGTGAGACAATGCCCTTCTAACTGGTCTTCCAGCCTGCACTGTGAGACCTCTTCAATTGGTCCAGAACGCAGCGGCGCATCTGGTCTTCAATCAGCCAAAAAGAGCAAACGTCACCCCTCTGTTCATTGAGCTCCACTGGCTACCGCTAGCTGCACGCATCCAATTTAAATTGCTAACACTAGCATACAAAGTACGAGATGGTATGGCTCCCATCTGCCTGAATCCTCTTGCAAAGGCTTACGTCTCGGCCCAGCCGCTAAGGTCATCACAGGATCGTCGGCTAGCAGTGCCTACACCACGCTCAGGACAATCCAGACTCTTCTCATGCATCGTTCCACAAATGTGGAACGACCTACCAAGCACTACAAGAACAGGGGCTTCCTTTTCAACTTTCAAGAAACTCCTGAAGACCCTGCTCTTCAGAGAGCATCTTCTTAACTAGCACCCTCCCTGCAACAATCCCCTATCTATTGTCCACTCCTTGTTCCCTGATCTCTATGATTCATCATGCTGCCCCGCTGCCACCTACGACTGACTGGAAATTGTTTGTTGTTGTTATTGTTGTTGTTACCGTCAAGGGCAACATGCCGATTATAACTTGTAAGTCGCTTTGGACAAAAGCGTCTGCTATTTAGCAGACTCACCCTTTAAATCACTAGCAATATATTTCAAGATTAAGGTAGCAGGTTTGGGGATGCACTATGCTAATGGTGTGACATTGCAATAACAGACTTTTTCAAATAGTTCATAGAAGCTCATAGTTTCTAAAAACCAAAATCTGAGGGAAAATGGGATCACCAAAGTGATTCTCAGCGTACTGTGATGTGGTGGAATTGGGCAGTGCTAGGTTAAATATCAACAGAATATTCTGTTACGTAGTTTGATTTACTTATGGGAAAAGGGGATGTAGCTCAGTGATAGAGCACATTCTTTGCATGTATGAGGTCTTGGGTTCAATCCCCAGCATCTCCATTCAATCTCAACTCTTTGGGGAATTTCTTTACAGTTAACTAACCTCTGATGAGCTACGCTGAATTGAGAAGATCCTTGCATCTAATTATCATCAGTGCTCCTCTCTCTCCCGTTACCAATCTACACCTGCTTTAGGTACATTATGCTAACAGAAAGTGAGTGAAATAGAGACTCCACCCAGGAGGTGACTCACCCTTTAAATCACCAGCAATGTATTTCAAGAGTAATTGGCTCAACACATGGGAGGCGACATCACCTCTCCTCCATTCATTTTCAATGAGACATGCACGACAAAGCAATAATCGCGGGTCTCCCTCCTACCAAGCGAAACACGAGAAACGTGCGTGTGAAATTTTGCGATTGTGCACGTGTCATGTCCAGGCGACCCAGCGACGCGATTCCAGAAAGTTGAAACATTTTCAACTTTTCATCGCTGTCGCTCGGACGAGGACCAATCAACGGAGGTTTCATTCACTGACCAGTGAGCAGACAGGATGCTCTGTACACCTCCGAGTAAACATGAAGGAGAAGTTGATTATTATTATGTTTTATATAGTAAAATCAGAAGTAAGATTTCACACAACTCTAGCAGCACCTTGTGAAACATCATATCTACCACTTTTTTAACTCTGAACCGCTTAAATAACCTTAATTCCCTCCAACCTGACACAGCCAAACAAAACAACGGAAGTTTCGATTTCGCCATGGAACAGAACGCGTAGACGGT